TTGACTTTGCGGGGATATGGATAAAGGTAAAGAAAGCGATGACAGGAATATTGGCAGAACTAAATCTTTTTTCAAAAAAGATGTGAAGCTAAGTTTCTAGCTCAGATTAAGAGAAGATTTGGTTTGCATGCGAAAAGAGGTTGAGTCTTTTTCAAATTAAGTGGCTTTCGGAATTTGTAGACGGGGGTAATTCACATCCTCATGTGACGGAATTTCTTTCATTAGCAAATGGGGACACGGTAGGATAACAAAGAAACAAAACTTGCTGGAACTTTACTGTGTTCTGTAGAAAGTCTAGACCTTCTCCCGGTGTGCTACTACAGTATGTTGTGCTATTTTTTCCACGAGGTCAAATAAAGATAGTACCTGTACAAGCACTGAACACCGAGCCGGCTCCAAGTTTGAGGTGTCATGAGTTCTTTTGAGCAATTAATCTGCAACTGAGCACAGTTTTTATAGTGAAGTAGAAATTTATCACTACCTTAAGAGATTTTAGGTTTTCACCAAGCAGTGTCATTACCATGTAGCAGTACTTCTTATGTTTGGCTGCATGGAAAACGACTGGAATATGAGGCTTATCTCCGTCTTCTGTCATCGCACGCAGTATCGCGATCTTGAAAAACACTCTGATCCAACTTCTCTGATTATAAGGCTGTCTCACCTCAAGTTTAATGGCCGAGCCTCCTTCGACATCGTTTGGTTCGGCTTTAAGTGCGGCCACCTGCCCTTTCCGCTGTGAGCTTTCTACCTGAGATGGGCAAAAAATCCAAGAATATCGTGCTTACGAGAAATCGAACGAGAAGTTCAGAGTACACTCAAAATAATTTTTTGAGGAATCATTGCTGGTGCAGGTCGTTGAAGTGTATCGGATTGAAATTGGATTATGGGACTATGTATCAGGCATCGCATCAATCATCTCTTTCGCAACTGCTGCTCCCTTGGTCTGCGTCGCTGACTTGCTGCGGCGTGTATGGTCAATACGTTGACAGACCATTTTGGCTATTAGTGTCCGCGCCAACATATTGTCGCATGTTGGCAGTATTAGAGCGCGTGTTAGTCATGCGTGTGGCAAACCAGAGATGTAGAGCAGGGGTAGCTGCAATGTGGAAGGGACGATACTCGCAGCACGATTTGCTCGCAATGCGTGAATTGCTGAAGTCGCAAATCTCTGTAGAACGCTTTATGCAAGGAAGAATTAGCACGTACAACTAGCGTACAAAAAGTATGCGCCTATTTGCTTGAAACACGCGCATGGTG